GCCCCGCTCCTCTCACCCTGTGCTGTACAGGAAGGACCTGAAGCAGCTGCTGCCAAAGCATGGGTCCCCGGTTCACTTTCTCACCTTGTTATCCTGTGAGCCTCTGGGGAGCCACAAAAATTGCTGTGGAAAAGACAGTCTAAACCAGACTAATTGGCAGCCCCTCAAAGGCTGTTGTCTGGCCACTTTCCCTTAAGATAATAGAGAAAAAGGAGAGGAAAATGTGGGGCTATTTTATACATTAAGATTCTGCCATGTTAATAAATTCCCTGCTAAGATGTTATTTGCTGTGTCATCAACAGCGTATTTTTTCCTTTTTGCGTTTTCATATCAACTAGAATAACATTGGTTCTTTTTCTGGTATTTGTTTCCTAAACTTTACAAAAATAGGTCAAGTTTATAGCCTAGCCCACCTAGAAAATTAAATATCTTTAGCATTCTGTAATAAATTAGTTGGAGGAAAAAAAACACTTAAACTTCAGGACATTTATTGAGTCTAAGAGTTTAGGACTAAAAGCCACACGGGAATCTTGTTTGAAATGCTGTTAATGATTACTTTGATGTGATATTACCAGTTTCTTCAAATGACCCAATTAACTTTTTAAATGACGGAAAAAGATTGAGTGAAATTTTTGAAAACAATTTTGTCATTGAGATGAATTTTACAGGGAGAAGTAAAGTACCTGAGTTGTGTGTCAGCTCTGTGTATGGTTTACCATGTAGCCTTTGGTCAGTCACTTGCCTTATCTCTGCATCAGTTTCCTTATCTCCCAAATAAGAGTGATGCCCTCAGTAAACTGAGGCTTCTTCAGTCTCTAGCCTATGAGCAGTGGCTCTTGACCATTTTTTCCCAGGGAGATACACAGATGTGGGATCATGTGCTACTCTCAGACGCTGTATCGAGCGTGTGTGTGTGTGTGTGTGTGTGTGTGTGTGTGTGTGTGTGTGTGTGGTGCTTTTGTTTTAAGGTAGCAGTATAGATAAAATAAGATGCAGGTTATGCATAATTCCCAGTTCTAATCCCACTTCACTTTTCTCCAATGATCACACTACTTTTACATCAAGAACCACAGCTCTGGAGAACTGCACGACTGTGGACTGTGTGTCCCCTGGAAGATTTTTTAAAATTTAAAATGCATCAAATTTTAAAAATCATTAATATGCTTGTATTCACAAGTTGAGGGTCTAATTATTTATTCTGATAGTTACACTATTTCTCTCAAATGTGCTTATGTGGTTCTACCCCCACATACCTCCCCCTCCAAAAAGTTTTCACAAAGTCTAGCCCCCTTGCTTTCTGGACATCCTGATCTGTTGAAAAGGCTGGAGCCCTGCTTGTCCTGTGGCCGCCTTTGCTGCAGACCCAGAAAGGTCTACAGTGACAACGTTTGCCCAGGGCCTGATTTTTACAGTGACTTCTTGGAATTGAAAAGGAAAGCTATTTGGTTTCCTAAAAGCAATAGAAATGACTGTTCATATAATAAAGCCTAGTTTATCGCCTCACAGCCCCTCTTAATGGCAGTGAGATCCGTGAAGCTGCCAAGCCAGACCACCACATACACGTGTCTGTCTAAAGCACCAGTATTCCCTTAAAGCCGTTTTCTTCATCAAACGCAAATAAAAAGCGCAGCACTCCCTGTGCCTGTCAGAAGAAAGGCTAATAGATCAATTAGCAGCATCTCGCCACCCAGCCGCTTCTCCCTCCTTGTGAAAAGCAGCCTTCTCCCAGACAGAAACCCCTGAAATGGCACCTGCTAGCATCTGTATGAGTCTCTAGCACTGATCACAACAGGGTGTCCAGCTAGCCTGTCGGCTGCAGTTGGCGAAGCACGTAACAAAACCAGAGCCAAATAAAAATATTAGAGCTGTACCGGTGTTAGCATGACCCATCGGGCCACTTTCTCTGGGAAGGAACTCAGTGGGAAATGACGAGGTCAGGCCTGGACCCCAGATCGGGGGCTTCACCACAGGAAGAAAGACCTGCAGAAGGGGGAGCTAAGTTCACAAGGCTTTATATCAAAGACCCAGATAGCTATCATCTGGGTCTTCCCTGTCCCTTGAGATCCATATAAGTTTTGCTTCAAACTCCACAGCCTGTGGAAATCTGAATTCTGTGACTTCTTGGGGGCTTAGGGTCACTGCCTCAGCTCTTGCTCCCATGTCTGGTATCTTAGCTATGCAACTTGGCAGGTTGCTTATTTTAAAGAAAGCATGTCTGAGCGTGGTAGACCTTGCAAAAAGTTGGTGTCATTGAGGAGAATCCTATTTCCTAGCCCATAACGATCTAGTTAGCAGACCAGACAACACTTGCCTGTAATCTTAGCCTTGTACTCAAGGTGTGGTCGGAGACCAGCAGCCCCTGCAGAACCGGGGTGCTCGCTAGCATTGCAGAAGCTGGAGCCCCACCCAGGCTTGCTAAATCAGAACCGAGATTTTAGCAAGATCTCAGGGGATTTCGTTCATGACAGCCTGAGGAACTCAGATCTACAGTCTCCTGTCCCCTTACTTACCATGGGTGGATCCTCTGCCCAGGCCCTTGCTCTGCATCATACCCAGCCTCTCCTCTTCTTTCTTGCCCCTCCTTTCTCTCTCTTTTGTTCTCTCATCTTCTCCCTCCCTATCAGGAGCTGCATACAAGTTCTTTGTGTCAGGACAGAGCAGCCCTCTTCTCTGGAGCCACAGAGCCAGTGACCACCTGGAGGTCTCCCCTTCTACCAGCCCTCAATCCTGTTCCCAACCTTAATCATAAAGTATTTGTCTATACAAGGCCCCCTTCTGAGAGGGACTCTGATACTAGCTACTTCGATAAAAGAAATCTCCCTATCTCATTACAAAAGATATCCCGGATTTTATAAAGACGTCTGGTTTCCAGACAGACCCCTAAATCAATTCAGCATTACAAGCTATCGTATAAGTGCTAGACCTGGGGAAACTGAGCCTTCAACAGGAAAGTGACTCACTCGAGGTCATTTTGTGGTTTTGGCAGAGGCAGGAGCAGAGAAGTTGTTCTACTTCCCAGTGCAGGCTTCTCGCCGCTACACCCTTCGTCATTCTCCTGACCCTTCAAGTGGCTCCCAGATTCTCTTTCTGAGCATGAGCAGTAAGAATCGCCTGGGCGGTAAATGTATATTTGGGTGTCTGCTTTGAATAGCAAGCACAGGTCCAAGACCAGGAGAGGCAAAACAGGCCTAGTTTCCCCATACAACTTAACCTTTGCCCACACGGCTCCCTTGGACTGAAAGTCTCGTTCATTCCCACCTGTCTGCCTGGCAAAATCCTACACATCTTTGAGAATCAACAGCTGGGACCCTCTGCTGGATTCCTGCAGACAAAATTAATCACTACTTCCTCTGTACAAGCACACTAGTAAAACATTTCTTCCGTTATAGGTTAGGGCTTTGTTTTCCTGGCTGGTCCCCTCTGATAGAAGGTTCCTCAAGGGAGAGCTGAACTCTGTGGTCCTCATTACCGTACCATTGGTGCCTCACACAGGAGAGGCTCAGAAAATGCTAGTTTTCTTCCTCCTTTCTTTCCCTTGGAAATTTCTACAAATTAATGGTGTCTGTCAGACAAATCCTGTCCTTAACTCAACCCCTTTATCCTCAAGCGCTTGCACCTTTTTGGACCTGGGCTGCCTCAGGCCAGCTGTTTCACGCTGCTACCCGTTTCTAGAACCTGGCCTCCCTTCTATTCCTTTGCTGTCCAAAGGTTCCAGCTTAGCCAGGAACTAGTGTATGACTAGCTACTAGTATAAGATTTTTATTATTATTATTAAATTTATTATTGGGCTGGCCGAGTAGCGCGTTGGTTAGGAGTTGGCTTGGGACGCCAGCTCTGGGCAGCAGGGCCCTGGTTTGGATCCCATATGATGGCCAGTGGTGCTGCGCCCTCTACAGCTGAGATGGTGAACAACAGCTCGACCTGGAGCTGGGCTGCTGTGAGCTGCCGGCGACGGCGTAGGCTGCCGTGAACTACCGTGAGTGGCTGGCAGGGGGCATGAGCTGCTGTGACCCATCAGGAGCGGCCGTCCAATGGCCGGCGAGCGACTGCCTCACCCGGGAAGAGCACAATGATAATACCAACATGGGCCAGTGAAGCAACGTCCTCCACAACTAGACTGAAGAAAAAAAGGACAGCAACTTGTCTATTCCCCTTCCCCGATTCCCCAACACTGTTCCCCTCCCCCGATTCCCCAATAAAATCTTTTTTAAAAAATGTATTATTAAACTTAATGTTACCTCAATACATTTAATAATATTAAAATTTACCTCATCAATTTCAGTTGTCCCTTGTTATTCAATATCTGTGTACTCTGATTATGTGCTCACCACCCGACATCCAGTTTCCTCCCATTACCATATATTTGATCCCCTTTATTCTAGAAGAAAACATAGATACTTAAAAGTGGACATATTTAAAAGAAACCACTAAGCTTCTCAGAGGTGTTTTTGTGAATTGGACTCCAGAGACTTTGAAAATCATCCCACCTTCTATACCTCATCTGCAAAATGAGTGGGTTTGACTCATGAGCTAGAGCTGTCTATTGGCAGGGTTGCAACTCACACGTGTGGTATAGTCAATTGTGAGGTGCTGTATAATTTTTCATATAATCATTAAGGTTTGCCAGTTGTCTTTTTAATAGAGAATTAAAGTTATCGTTATGGGTCATTCTCCGTTGTGTGCTGATATGCTTTCTGAAATAGGAGAGCAGGCTTGCGGACACACACCTTGGGACTGTGTTATGTCTCACAAAAAGTTCCCTGATTACCTGTCAAGTGTGCCTCAACAGGGCAAAGGCCGACCTCTAAGATTCTTTTCAGCTCCATCATCTTATGAGCTATAAAGCTTGGCGAAAAGACTGCTCCTGGAAAAATGTGAATTTCCAAATCCCTCCTGTGATGTGGTAGCTCCTCTTAAAATTTAAATCTCCTTCAGGAATACTTGAGAGGTAACAACACTCTTGTAATTTTTTTCCTATTCCTCCTTGGCTTTGCTTCCAGGAAGCGAGAAGAAGAAAACAAGCGAAGAGAAGCAGAACAGCAGAAGGGAAGGCTGAGCCCAGATTCCGGCAGGCCCCAAGCCCCTCCCTCTCTGCCCAGCACCCAGGCTGAGCCCCACAGGCAGAGATGGGGCCCCAGCAAACAGCCTCCCACCAGCAACTTGGCCCAGGGTCCTGAGCAGAGAGCCTGCACGGGGTCTCCAGGCAGAGGGTCTCCAAGCAGAGCCCCCCAGAAGGAGCAGCATCTGTCCCCAGATTTGCAGGGAGCAGACCCCAGGAAGCCAAATGGTAGGTGTATTGCCTTTGTTATCTGATGCCAACCCATGGGCTGTGGGCCCTTTTGATCGGTGTATTTAGACCATTTAAGGTAATTACATCAGCACCTAAGTCTGCCATTTTATTATTCACATTCCATTTATTTCCTGTGGTTCTCATTCCTGTTTCTCTTTTCTTGCCTTCCTGTGGGTTACTCAAACGTCTTTTAGGATTCCATCTTGATTGATTTATAGTGTTTTTGAGTACATCTCTATAGTTTTTGTAGTGGTTGCTCTGAGTATTACAATATACATAAGTGACTTACAACGATCTACTATTGGGTTGTCAGAAAAGTCATGACGCATTTTTGCAACGAAAAACATATAAAAAATACGCCATGACTTTTCCAACAACCTAATAGTATCAACATCTTACCACTTTGAGTGACATGTGGAAACCCACTTCCATTTAGGTACCTTTACCTTCTCCCCACTTTTAAATATCTTTGCTTGGTGTCAGGTGGTTTTATAATTTAGTTTCAATCCTCAAATATAATTTATAAAACTCATGAGGAAAAGAATAGTCTGTTTTATGTACCCATATTTTTTTTCTTCCTTCCTTTTTGCTCCAAATTCCTTCTTTTATCATTTTCTTTCTGTTTGAAGAATTTTCTTTAGCCAATTTAAAAGGTAGGTCTACTAACAATGAATTCTTTGAGTTTTCCTTTGTCTTAGAATGTTTTTATTTCATTCCTAAACAATCATTAAACCAGATTTAGAATTCAGGGTTGGCAGTTCTTTTAATTTAGCATTTCAGAAAAACTGTGCCACTTCCTTCCATCTTCCATGGTTTGAGGTGACACATTCGAATTGGTGTTCCTTAGTAATGTGCCTAGGTAACGTCATTTCTCTCTGGCTGCTTTCAAGGTTTTTACTTTATCTTTGGTTTTCAAGAGTTTAATATGCTGTGTCTTGGCATGGATTTTTGGACTTCATCCTTTGTGAAGTTCATTTAGTGTGTTGGGTGTGCTCAAGATGACCCCGGGGTTCAGTAATTTGCTAGGAGGACTGACAAGACTCGGTATACAGCTGTACTCATGGCTATAATTTATTATAACAAAAGGATACAAAGAAAAATCAGCAAAGGGAAAAGGCACAGGGAGTGAAGTCTGAAGGAGACCAGGTACGAACTTCCAGAATTCTCTCCTAGAGGAGTCACACAGGACACACTTAAATCCTCCAGCAATGTAATGTTACAGCCGGTTAGACAACCTTTTTCTACCAGGAAAGCGACCTTAACCTAGGACTCTAGGATTTTTATCAGAAGTCAGTCATGTAGATATGATCTCTGCCTAGCATATACCAAAACTCCAGACTACCAGAAGGAAAGCAAGTATTCAGCATAAACTATATTATTTGTACAATGCAATTTAAGTATACCGAGCCATTCTAATTAGTTAGAGAATAGTGAGAATGCTCCAGAAATCTAAGTGCAAATGCCAACAACAATGAAAAAGGCAAATAATATCTTAGTATTATTATGAAAATTGTTATGACCTTGGAACCCCCAGAAAGGATCTCTGGGATCTCATGGTCACCTAATTCAGGGCTTGGGCAATTCAGTCTATCTCTCTGAACCTCAACTTCCTTAGCTATAAAATGGGGTATATTCTCTACTCAGCAAGGTAGTTGTGAATAGAAATTAAAAAATTAATGTAGAGCACTTGTTATGGCCCGTGACCCATAGTAGGACTTCAGTAACTACTGTTATTAAACCACACTGCTGATCTAGCCAAGAATAACTGCATGAAAGTATACATGAATGACCACAAACATTTCCAGACTGTAATTCCATAACCCACTTTACAGTGATAGTGCATCAGCAATGTTGGGATGGTGTGATGCTTTGTTATATGTTCATTCATTTACTCCTTCAGCCAGCATTCCCCAAATTCCCGTGATGTGAAAGCCATGTTGAATTTTCTCAAGTTCTTTCTTAGCTTAAGGCCTTTGCATGTAGCATATGAGGGTTGTATCCTGTGTCTAAAAGGCTGTACCTTTATAGATTACTATTTAAATTTACATTAAAATGATTATTTTTTAAGTAAATTTAAACTGACACTGTGTCCTCTAGCCATACGATAAAAACTACCAAGTACCCTGCCACTGAATAACACAGCCTCCCTTTCTCCAGACTTCAACAGCAATTTCTTCTCTGCTCCTCCAGGCTTCGCTCACATCTCTTCATTGCCTTTCCAGCTTCTGCTCACCAACCAGTCCCAAAGTCAGTGCCATGATTTTAGATTTTTGTTAGGCCAGCACTTCTCTTTTTTACGTATTAGTTTCTGTGTTGGTTATCTGTTGTGGCATTACAAACCACCCCCGAAATTAAGTGGCTTAAAACAACAATGATTTCATAATTCTGTGGGCAATTCCTCTACTGGATCACCTGGGCTCACTCATGTAGCTGCTAGAAGGTTGACAGGCTGGAAAGTCCAAGATGGCTTCCTTCACCTGGCAGTTGGTGCTGGCTGTTGGCTAAGGCGTCTCAGTTCTCTTCTGCATGACCCTTCCTTCACCCTCCGGGACGTTAGGCCTTCTTCCTTGCATATCATTCTCAGGCCAGTGCTCTGAGAAGGAGCGGGCAGAAGCTCCAAGTCCTCATGAGGCCCAGGCTCCACAACTTGCACAGCACTTCCACCACATTCTGTTAATCAGAGCAAGTCACGAGGCCAGCCCAGATTCAAGGCGGTGGAGATATAGACTTCACCCCTGGATGAAAGATGTCACCAAATCACATTTCAAAGGTGAGTGCATACTGGGATGGGAAGACACTTTGGCCATTAAACAATCCATCATAAGGAGCAGTGTGTCTCTTCTGTATCCCAAACACCTAGCTGGGTGTCTGGCACAGAAGAGATATGATAAATATCTGTTGAATGGTACTAGCTACATGCTTGAGATTGAGAGAGGAAAGACAGATTGTTAAACATGACATGAAAAGCATTCATTGGGTATACTCTTGTTTTCTGTAAGAGTCCTATTTTTTATGGCAAAGCTTTGCTTCTATTCTGTTCACTAAATCACTTATATATGCATTCATCAACAGGTATGTTTTTAAGCCCACACTATGTGCCAGCCATACTGAATTATAATTAAGGCTAAGGATCTTTCTTATAGCAATAAGCACAATATTGGTTACCTATGTAAACACTTCTTGACCTGACTCCTACAAAGCACCCATTCAAAGTTTGATTGGCTTGGGGTTTAGTATACTCTGTACCTTAAGAATTATATTTAATGCCTGCAACTTCAAATGGACAATTTTTTCCCCTAATCCTGTGCTCTGCAGAGCAGAGACAAGGGGGAGCAGTTATTTCAGACTTTTTACAACTACACAAGGTAATTGTGGTTTGTGTTCATGTTTTTATAAAACACCTTGAGACAGTTATGCTGAAAGGCCAATCAGATCTGCCGTAGACCTGATCACATTCTGGTAGTCACCCCACATCCTATAAAAGCATGAAGTTCGAGTTTTTAATAACCTTCTGTCCTTTCATTATACTGATGCTAGTTAAGACTGCCTTTCCTCACTTTTGGTTTAAGGGTGATCAAGTACACGGTTTTAGAATGATTTTCAAGCCATATGGAGGTCATGAAATTAATTTAGTGGATTGGATCAGGAACTAGACTACAATAGAAAATATCAAAGTATATTGCCTATTATAAAGGCAATAACTTCTGTTGCAGCTATTATCTGTGTACATAGATGTCTGTCTGTTGTATATGTGTGTGTATACATGTTTATCTGTATACTGGGCCACAATGAAACATTTACTTCTTGCTATAGGTTATTGTAAAAAAAGAAAATTTGAAAGGTCCTGTTCTAGAACAGTTCTGAAGAGGGGAGCTCCTCATTCATTTGAGCGCAGGAAATGGTGTCCTGAATAAGGAACATTTGGGAAGAGCCAGAGTCACATATGCAGACAGGGCCTCCGAGCAGCCCAGCAGCCAGACTTTGGGGAGAGCTGAAGGAAGGAAGACCAGTGAGCCTGGTTCAGGTGTGAGGAGACGGAGCTCCAGTTTCACGAGCACCTTTCACCCCGTTCACCTGCCTCAGAGGCCAGAGTACCAAGGAAAATAGGGAGATACTTCTAGGAATCAAACTGGCCATGGACTAGAGCTTCTGGAGCATAGGAACCCCAGGAAACCCCAACATAAACTGGACAAAGGGCACCCAAGCCACTTCATGTTTGGCCACATAAATAAGGGTCACAGCCGCTTCAACTGATCAGTACTCAAGCAGTGTAGACCTTGAGGGGTGGACATCCCAACAGGAACCCAGAAATGGAAAGTATTGACTACTCTTTTTCTCCATCATCCTGTCTCACAGAAGCAGAGAATGTTAGAACTTGAGAGTTGTTAGAGACAGGTATTACAGCCTCCTCAAAACAAGTCAGGAAACGGAGGCCATGAAAGAGGGGCTTGCCCAAGGTTCCTAACAGGGATTTCTTCCTTCTGTCTCATAATAATTCCTCCCTTCTTGTTCTGTATGATGCGTGCAGAGCGGAATGGCTAAGTGCACAAGCTTTAGAATCAAACAACCTATTGGGTTGTCGGAAAAGTCATGACGTATTTTGTCTATGTTTTTCAAAGGTCATTTATTTATATAAAGAACAAAGACCAGTCAATGATACATTGCCCATTTTGTTCGATAACCTTTTGCCATCTTTCAGTGAGCTTCATAATTCCTCGTTCATAGAAGGACCTGTCTTTATTTGCGAAAAACTGAACAAGGTGCTGATTTACAGCCTCATCTGAACTGAACCACGCAAGTTATACCATGCAAGGAGTTTTGAAGAGAGCTAAACAAGTGGAAATCTGATGGCGCAAGGTCACGCAAGTATGGTGGGTATGGCAACACATCCCATCCAAGCTCCAAGAATTTTTGACGGGTGATCAAACTTGTGTGTGGTCTTGCGTTATCATGATGGAACACAACTCCTTTACAATCAACAAGCTCTGGACGTTTCTGGATGATGGATTCATTAAAACTGTCCAATTGCTGACAGTACATATTTGAATTGATTGTTTGGTTCCTTGGTAGGAGCTCGAAAAACACAACACCTTTAAAATCCCACCACACTGAGAGCATAATGTCTGCTTTCTATGTCGTTTGAGGCAAATCATCATGTAATGACCAAGACTGTTTGCACACCACATTGTTTTCAACAATCCACTTCTCATCACCAGTTATCAGTTGCTTCAAAAAAGGATCGTTTTCTGCACGTTTAATGAGCATATTGCAGATGTTGATACACGCCCTCAAATGAACTTCTTTGAGTTCATGCAGAACCCCAATATTGAGCTTGCTTATGTATCCTAGTTTCTTCAGGTGGTCGTGAACACTTGAATGATGGATGTTCAATGTTTCTTCAATCTCTCGGGTTGTGTACGGGGGTTTGACTCAATCAATGCCTTTATTTTGTCATCATCAACCTCCGTGTGCTTCCCTGACTGAGGAGCGTTGTTGAAATCAAAATCACCAGCATGGAATTTCGTGAACCATTTTTGACACTGACGTTCTTGTAGAGCATTGTCACCGTAAACTTGATGCAACTTTTCACAAGCTTGATGTGTGTTTTTCCCTTTATAGAAGTAAAACAGTAAAATATGGCAAAAATGCACATTTTGGTCTTCCATCTTCAACTTGTTGTAAAATCTCCAAAACTCAACCAAATCGCTCATATTTTTTGGAATGAAGCTGTGAAATGACATAGCAATAACATAGATGTGAATGACTAATACTTCCAAATGAACTAGTGCCATCTGTCGCAAACGCGTTGTGACTTTTCCAACAACCCAGTAGGTTCACATTTAGACTCTACCACTTACGAGCTGTGTATCTTTTTTTTTTCAATAAGGTAATGCACTTTTTTTTTTTTTAAGATTTTATTGGGGAATTGGGGGAGGGGAACAGCATTGGGGAATCGGGGAAGGGGAACAGACAAGTTGCTGTCCTTTTGTTCTTCAGTCTAGTTGTGGAGAACATTGCTTCACTGGCCCATGTTGGTGTTATCATTGCGCTTTTCCCGGGTGAGGCAGTTGCTCGCTGACCATTGGATGACCGCTCATGGCTGCTCACAGCAGCCCAGCTCCAGGTCGAGCTGTTGTTCACCATCTTAGCTGTAGAGGGCGCAGTGTCTGGCCATCATGTGGGATCCAAACCGGGGCCTTGCTACTCAGAGTTGGCGTCCCAAGCCAACTCTTAACCAATGCACCACTTGGCTGGCCCACGAGCTGTATAATCTTGAGCCAGTTGCTTAACCTGACCAAGCCTCCACTTCTTTATTTGTAAAAGAGATAATAAATTGTGAACATTAATGAGACAGCACATATACAGATTTAAACACAGTGCCTAAAGCACTCTATAAATACAAGCTGTTATTATAATTAACATCCTTATTACTTCAAAAGGGGGAAGGAAGGAGCCATAGTATTTAGAAAATCACTGTGGCTGACTAGAAGATGGATTTGGGGGACCAAATAGGGCCTACACTAAGACACAGCAGCAGTAGGGTGACGGGTCGGGGATGGACTTGCGAGGTAGGATTGAGATGACTTGGTAGCAAGCAGATTGTTTGTGGGAGGTGGTGAGATGAAGCTGTCTCTGAATCAGTGTGGTTTTCGGGAGAGTGTAGTGGAGGAGAAGCTTACTGTGTTAAGGGCCATCCCTGGTGTTCTGTTATTCTCACCACGTGGGCTGCCAGAGCGGGTGGGTGTGACTGGTGGGAGTGTAAGTGTGCCCTCCATTTGGTGCATGTGCAGTGGCCAAGGCAGCAAATTACCACCTACCTGCCAAGACTCCCTGGCCTCTTTGCCTTGCTCCAGTTGTGTATACTCAAGTATCTACTTATGTCCTTACTTGAATGTCCCAAAGGCATCTCAAACTCAACCTTTCCAAGAGAGAACCAATTATGATTTCATGTAAACCTGTTCCCAAAATTGGTTAATGACATACTCATCCATCTGTATGTTCAATTCAGGAGTAAAATCTAACCATTATCTTCTTTTCCTTTACCACCCATTTCAGTCAGTCACCAGGTGTTGTCACCTTTACTTCCTAAATACCTTGCAAATCCATTTTGTTTCTCTCATCTGCCACCATCAGCCCACCACTGTGCAGTCTACCTAACACCTGACCTTTGTCTCTAACTTGGGCTATCGCAGTGTGTCCTAGCTGGTCTTACTTACCTACTCTGCCTCCCCTAATCCATTTCCCCTCTGTGTACATAATGGTCTCTTCAAAATGAAATCTCATCATATCATCCCCTACTCAGGGCCCTGGAATCAGCCACTTCTCCAAGGAGGATGGATTTTGTCATAATTTTATTGGCTTTTTTCTAGGTTTTTCGCTGATGCCCTCTGTCATTTTTTATATTGGTTTTAAATTTTCCCAATAGTTCTAAAACTCTTTATCTAGCAAATATAATGAATGTCTCTTTTTAGTATGCCTTTTAATTGCTTAATTCTTTTCTTTTGAGATTTTTCTCCTTGTGTTTTTATACTAAGAAAAGATTTTCCCCACTTCAAGATCTGATAAACACATGTATTTTCTAATTTTTACTATCTCATTTTGTTATACAGTGACATTGGGATCTCATGATTTCTTTTTAGACAATAAGCAGTGGTTCTAGCCATGGACGTGGACTAATCCTGATCTGTTACTGGCTGTGGACTTGTGAACAATGGCTCCTGGAGGAGTCTGGCATCCCCTCTGGGTTCCTACCCAGGGGCTCTGCGCACCTCATCTCATCACAAATTCCAATGCCATCTTCATTATATATTTTTATATATGGGTATATTTTTAGCTTTCTGTTCTTTCCCACTGATCTATTGTATCTATTGTGATTTGGGTTACACTATTTATAGCATTATTAGTCAACAGGATCTAGTGATATCTAGCAGTCTCTTCATTATTTTTCCTTTTAATAGAGTTTACTTTTTAGAGCAGTTTTAGGTTCACAGCAAAATTGAGCATAAAGTACAGAGAGTTCCCATGTACTACTGCCACCTCCCCCCCACCCCCATCCCCACTAACTTCCTACATCAGAGCAGTACATTTCTTACAGTCGGTGAGCTGAGATGATGCAAAGCTGGGCTTCAGGCCCTGCAAGGGTCAATTTACTACCAGTTCAGTTTTCCTCCTAAGACATAGCCTTCCATGGCCTCAGGCAAAAAGACTGCTTTTTGGCAGGTTCTATTCCTCCAAACCTCAAGGGACTGGTTCCCCTAGGGATGCGTACCCCCAAATGCCTTTCTCATCTCTGTTGGTGTTCTGATTCTCCTGGATCTTGGCCTTATACTTTTGATGCCTTTAGACAGGTGGTTTGTAATATTATGTTCGACTTTTCTGTTGTCCTCAGTGGTGAGCATGCCTCAGTTTTGCCATTACGGAAGCTTAAGTTTCTTCGTTGCTTTTTACACTAAGACTAAATTTTTCATTTTAGATGTTCTGTTTAGTTCTTTTTCCAATATAGCTATTCTTTTCTCAAATTTTAATTTTCTTTCATGTGTTTAGTGTGTGTGTGTGCGCGTGCACACAGTGTTCTATTAGCTTTAGTTCTTGTTGATCTAAGCTTGCTGCTGTATCTGTTAACTGTCGATCATGGTCGATTGTGTCCTCTTGCATTTTATAATTTTGGACTGCGAAGTTATTTCACAAGGATCCCTCTGTGCAGCCTGAATTGAGGTCACGCCACACTAAAGCAATACTGGGTTTGCTTCTGTGAGTCATTTGCTTCTATGACATCGCCACCCTGAGACCAGTTTTTATATTAATTTTTCCAATAGGTTGAAAATAATACCAAGCCCATGGAGACTTTACCCTATCCAGAACCAGGCTGAGACAAACTTCCTTTGCATCTCCCAGTGCCAGAAGCAGATGTTTTTATCTGGACTATTACTTCCCTTGGGTATACCACCTCAAGAGTCCTGGCTGCATTTAGGGTCTTGGTTTTAGTTCACTTCCTGCCCGCAAGGCCTCATCTTCTGTTCTTACCTGGATGTTAAAACACAACCAGATATTGAATAACACCGGCTGTTGCCCACTTCACCACCACTACCTGCCTGGATCAGCTCACACACAGCTTGCTGATTTTCAGTTTTCTCTTTGTTTTTGGTTCCCAGGAATCTCCTTTATTTTCTTGAAAACACTATGGTGCTTTTAAAAGGATGCTTATTATATATTTTAATCAGCATTTATAGGTACTTATAGTGGGAAGACTTTCAGGTTATCTCACGTACCATTGCTAGAAATAGAAGTTAAAAGTATATTTTCTAATCATAGTCGTCACCATTGTCATGGTGATGTTATGGGACGGGTCTAAATATTTTATGTAAACAGATGAGCAGACTTGCCCTATTATGCAAGTTTCGGACAATAAATATTCTTTCCTCTCTCCCTTGTTTTCCCAAGAAACATCCAGAGAACATTCTAAAGGCCGATCTTCCTGTGTTCACTTCAGCCCCAGTGAAGGCAATGATGGAAACAGGTGTCGAGGAGTCTCCTCTGTTGAGAAGTCCGGAGGTGAGACAGTTGGCGAGCAGCGGTGTGACAAGGGGAAAGGCTTCCTGAAGCAGCCGTCCTGTAGCAGGGTGGCTGGGCCTGGTGAGAAAGGAGAGGACCCCAGTTGGGCAGCTACAAGTCTTCCACAGCAGGATGGCCACCGGAAGCCCAGCAGGCGGCATGACACAGCACCCAAAGCCAAGTGCACCTCCCAGAAAAGGAGCATTCAAGAGCTCAGAGGAGGAAGGTGCTCCCCAGCTGGTTCTAGCCGACCTGGCAGTGCCAAAGGGGAGGTGGTCCATGCTGGGCAGAACCCTCTCCACCATCGGACACCAAGAAACAAAGCAACACAGGACAAGCTCCAAGAAGAGATCTACTCAGATTTGCCACAGAGCACTGAGGTGTTGAGGTCAGGAGTCAGGAAACTGGGGATATCCACCCTGTGTGAGGGTGCTCGGACATCTAAGGAGACTGAGCCAGCTCCTGGTCCCCTCTCTGGGCAGAGTGTGAATATTGACCTTCTCCCTATAGAGCTGCGGCTGCAGATAATCCAGAGAGAGAGAAGCAGGAAAGAGCTGTTTCGCAGAAAGAACAAAGCAGCGGCAGTCATCCAGCGGGCCTGGAGAGGGTAAGGAGCGTCTTTGGTTCTGTGGTTGTCCCGCTCTCCCCAGCATGACACCCCTGAGCTCCGCCATGTTTTCTAGTGAATTCCATGTGCTGGCGTGACAAGGACAAGGTAATTGAGCCTACCGATGAAACTCACACATGTGTAGATCCTAGTAATTTATCCTGGATAAACTATTTGGAAGGTGTTTTTGCCAAGAAAGATGGGAAAGCACCCAGGATAGCCTGGTGTAAAGACAAAAGCCCTAGGTGTGTAGCCAGGAAGCCTGAGTTTCAGCCGCAGCTCTAACAGGTTGTCTGACCTTGGGCAAATCACTTGGCCTCCCTGACCCTCAGTTTCCTCATGTGGAAAATGGGGTTTAACAATCGCTGCTCCTGTTGTGTTCATACGGCAGGTTGTAGAGTGAGATAACGTGAGCTTCAAAAATTCTAAAGCCCTACACATGTAAGGTATTTTATATTTCTTCTTTTTATGTCTTTACTACCCAGGAATTAGTCATAACCTTAAATACCTAAACCAGGGCCTGGATATAGTGGACTGAGTGACTGAAATGTATTACAAAATCCTGTGTAAGCACCTACCAATCTCCCCAAGAATGTGGGGTAGGGGTGGAGGCTTCCTAAAATACTGAGCCAGATACCTCCAAGAAGTAATTATAGGGGACTGGGGGAGTCGTTTGCTGCAAGTTTTCATGTATCTCATAATCTCCTTCACACCACAGGCCCCACTAGGGCCTAACTCCAGATTAGCCCTTACAGTGATGACCAGTGCCCAGGGGAGGGCTGGCCAGTGCCAACAGGTGGTGGTCACGTGGTCTCCATCTCCAGAGAGAAGAAGGGTGATGGGGGACAAAGCAAGCCAGTCACTGGGAGTATGGGGTGCCACATGTCCACACCCCAGTCAGAAGAGAAAAGGGCTGGACAGCACCTAACATTGGCAGATGGAGAAGAGAGTGCAAGAGAGTGGTTCTTGTGAGACCCAGGAAGAGCAGTGAGGGTCTTCTGTGCCCAAGACTGTGTAACCCAGAGCCAGGCCGTTGCTTTGTGCTTGCACAGCCTTTGCAATAGGGCGTCCTTAAGTCTGTTCAAGCTCTCGGCCATTTACAGTCGTCTCACACCTTTCTTCTCCCAACCACACCAGGAAATCGTCGTGATAAAGATTAGTGTCCCCATTTTCAGACGAGCAAGTGGTCTCAGAGCGGAAAAAGGGCTTCCCCTAGTGGTGCCGAGCCAGCACTGAATCAAGTCCAAGGCCTTTCCCTTACATTCTCAGTAAAGGTGGTGTTTGCAGTGGTCAAGATAACAAAGGTGGAGGCAGGCCTCGTGCTGTCAGCTCAGAGCAGGCCGGAGGGGAAGGGCTGCCCGGATCGTGCTCACCGTCGTCACGGCAGTGTTGTTACGGGGGATGTTATTACTAGTAGTTGGCATTTATTGGGCACTTGTGCCAGAGGCAAGTCTACGTAGTTTTACATGTAGTATTAACTCGTTTAATCCTCACAATTACCTTGTGAGGTAGATACTCTTCTTATCCCCACTCTTCAGATAAGGCAGCGGTTCTCAACCTGTGGGTCGCGACCCCTTTGGGGGACGAACGACCCTTTCACAGGGGTCGCCTAAGACTATCGGAAAACAAAAAGATATTTACATTACGATTCATAACAGTAGCAAAATTACAGTTATAGAGTAGCAACGAAAATAATGTTTATGGTTGGGGGTCACCACAACATGAGGAACTGGATGAGGGGGTCGCGGCATTCGGAAGGTTGAGAACCGGTAAGATAAGGAAACCCACCAAGGTCATGGAGCTGGGAAGTACCAGCAGTGGCTTTGAACTGAGACAGTCTGCTGCAGAAGCCACAGATGGGAATGGGCCCTGCTCCCCCTCCTTGGGGAATTCTGCCAGGACGTGCACTGGCTACCATCCCAGAGGAACTTTTTGTTAAGTATGTGTTTCAGCTGAAACCTGGGATCTAAATAAGCGAGCGAGCTTTACCACGTCAGGCCCCACAGCTGTGCCCTCACTGAAATGCCTTCCCATCAGGCTGTTCTCTGGCTCCTTTGAAGAGGAAGAAGCTGACAGGTCCTGTCAGTAAGTGCCCATAGCAGCAAATGAGCCTTCAGTCATTGTCCCCAAGAACAGCGGGCTCATAGTCTGTGTGTCCACCTGGGGAGGCAATTACATAGGCCCCCTCTGGCTGCGCCCTTGTGCAGTTCTGAGACCTGGGACATCGACCCCCAAAGGGCTTCTGGGAAGCTGCACATTGTGGGAAGTTCCATGTCTGGTGACAGTAAATATATTTGTAGTGATTCTGTTGTAGTCTTACACATCTTCCATTTTGGAGTATGATCCCAGGGAGCTGTGCTGGGACAGTGTGTGGTGTCTGACACCAAACCCAAGGGGCTCTGAGGGGTTGAGTGGTGAACGGGGCCTGGCACCATCAGTGCAGGCTGTCGTTATAGGAGACATGCTGCAGCGGGAGAAAGGCAGACTGCAGTTTGCAGGGATGGGGCGAGCAAATTGAACCTTGGGCCTGGAGAAAATGAAACTAAGTCTTAAAGTGTGAGTTTTAGTACCAGCCAAGACTTGACTATTTTCAAGATTGAAACCAGACACTGAACAACTAAACCAAGCTGGAAAGTTGCTGTGGCTAAGAGCAGTTGCTGTGTAAAACACTTTCATTTTACCTCAGCAATGTGTAAGCCACCTTCCTGTCCACCCTTCTCCAGCATGTTCTGAGGTGAATAAACAAGGATAGGTGGACCACAGAGCCCTGAGCCCAGGGCTGAAAGGACAACTGGGCCTGTCAGGTTTCTCAATTCAGGAAGAGTAGAGGGTGTTATTCTGATCTCTAGGCCAGCAGACAGACTTAATCGAGTAGGTGGAAGTTGTGCCCACTTAAAGCCAGAGCTGTCACAGCTTCTGCCAACACCTGGGCTCCCCAGCGAGTTCTCTGCCTGGAGAGCAGAGGGCGTGGAAGACACATGGCTTCTCAAACAGAAGAAGCTGAACTGTGGATGGAGTGGTACCGCCCCGTAACTCTAGCTTTTCTCTACCGTCGGCTGTTGGAAGTGTGGCATATCTCCTAGCTGCATCCTGTAAGTTTTGGTATGTTGGGCTTCCATTTTTGTTTGTCTCAAGGTATTTTTTAAATTTCCCCTTTAATGTCTTCTTTGCCCCACTGGTTGTTCAGGAGAGTGTTGCTTAATTTCCATGTATCGTGAGTTTTCCAGAAAACCAGTTTCATACCATTATGGTCAGAGAAGATAACTTGATTTCAGCCTTCTTGAATTTGCTAAGACATATTTTGTGGCCTAACATATGGTCTATCCTCAAAAATGTTCCATGTGTGCTTGAGAAGGTCTACTGCTGTGGTCAGATAGAATGTTCTGTATGTCTGTTAAAGTCCATTTTGTCTAATCCACTCATTGATTCTATGTCTGGATGATCTATCCATTGTTGGGTGTAAGGCAGCGGTTCTCAACCTTCCTAATGCCACGACCCCGTAATACAGTTCCTCATGTTGTGGTGACCCCCCAACCATAAAATTATTTTCATTGCTACTCTATAACTGTAATTTTGCTACTGTTATGAATCGTAATGTAAATATCTTTTTGTTTTCCTATGGTCTTAGGCGACCCCTGTGAAAGGGTCATTCAACCCCCAAAGGGGTCACGACCCACAGGTTGAGAACCACTGTAAGGTATTAAACTCCCCAGCTATTATCGTACTGCTCTTTATTTGTTTTTGCTTTATATATTTAGGTGCTCTTAATGTGTATAAGTATTTACAATTGTTGTATCTTCTTGATGGATTGACCCTTTTATCATCATATAACGACTTTTTCTCTTTTTACTATTTGTGAAGTCTGTTTTATCTAAGTATAGTTACCCTTGACTTTTTCTTGGGGGAGTTACCATTTGCTTGAAATATCTTTTTCCATCCCTTCACTCTCAATCCATGTGTTTTTAAGGTTAAAGTGAGTCACTTGCAGGCAGCATGTTGTTGGATCTTGTTTTTTTAATCCATGCAGCCATTTTGCCTTTTGATTAGGGAATTGAATTCACTTACATTTAATTATTGATGGGTAAGGACTTACTATTGCCGTTTTGTTAATTGTTTTCTGGATGCTTTGTAGATCCATTGTTCCTTGCTTCTTATCCTGCTGTCTTTTTTGCTTGGATTCATTTTGGTATCAGTATGCTTTGACTTCTTTATTATGTTCTTTTGTGTAATTAGTGCAGGTTTTTCCCTTGTAGTCACCATGGGGCTTACCTAAAATATCTTAAAATTATAACACCCTATTTAAAACTGATAACAGCTTAACTTTGATAGTATTCCTAAACTTTATATGTTTACATCTCCCTTCACACACTTTGGGTTATTGATGTTACAATTTATATATATTTATATCCAATAACAGATTATTGTAGTATGGTTATTTTTTCTACATTTATTTTCTTTTCACTTAGAATTTTTCTTTTTTTTTTTAATTGAGGAACAGTGTGTTTTCCCAGGACCCATCAGCTCTAAGTAGTCGCTTCAATATAGTTGTGGAGGGTGCGGCTCAGCGGTTCATGTGGGGATCGAACCGGCAATCTTGGTGTTATGAGCACTGCACTCTAACCAACTGAGCTAACTGGCCGCCCTGTTTATTTCTTTTTAAAAGTTCTTTTAGACATTCATTTTTAAAATCATACCACACTTGTTATTTTAAAAAGATAAGCAAAATGTATTAACTTACCCATAAAAGTTCTTCACATTAATATAATTACTATAATAAACCACTTTCTGATTCATAGTCATTGGCATCACTGTTCTCTAACCAAGACTATGTTTAACTTTGAAAGTAGAGTTGTGCTTACATTACCACCATTACCATATTACAGAATCTAACTTTGACCATATGTTTACCATAACCAGTGAATTTTACCTTAGCTTCTTATGTTTTTATATTGTCAGTTAGCATCCTTTTACTTTCAAAGAACTCCCTTTAACATTTCTTGTAAGACAGGTCTGGTAGTGGTGAATTTCTGAGCTTGTTTGGGAAAGTCTTTACCTCTCCTTAATTTCTGAAGGACAGTTTTGCTGGGTATAGAATTTTTGTTTGACAGGTTTTAATTTCTTTCAATATTTTGAGCATACCATCTCATTCTGGTTTCTAAAGTTTCTGTTGAGAAACCTGCCAATATTCTTATGGGAATTTCCTTGTATGTAAATTCTTTCTTGCTGATTTCAAAATTATTTTTCTTTAACTTTTGATAATTTAATTATAATGTGTCTCAGTGTAGCCCTGTTCAGATTCAACCTATTTGAGGTCCTTTAGGCCTCATGAATCTGGATGTCCATTTGTCTTACCAGATTCTGAAAATTGCAGCCATTATTGCTTTAAATATACTTCCTCTTTCTTCTCCTTCTGGAATTTCCATAATGTAGATATTGGTTTTCTTGTGTGTGTGCTCCCTAAGTTCTGAAGGCTATTTTTGTTTTGTTTTTTACTTTCATTTTTTGTCTTTTAATTCCTCTAACTGGATAATTTCAAATGTCCTGTCTTCTAGGTCACTGCTTCTTCTTCATGGTCAAGTCTGCTTTTGAATTCTCCAGTTTCAATTCAGTTCTCTATTGAATTCTTCAGTTCATTGTATTTTTCAGCTCTAGAATTTGGTGCTTTTTTGGTGGTTTCTGTTTCTTTGTTGAACTTCTCATTTTGTTCATGCATTGTTTTCCTAATTTTGTTTAGTTGTGTGTTCTTGTAATTCACAAAACTTCTTTAAGAGGATTACTCTGAATTCTTTGTCAAACACTTCACAGGTCTCCATTTCTTTAAGGTCAGTTATCGGAGCTTTTTAAGTTTCCTTTGGTGGTGTCATGTTCACCTGATTTTTCATGATCCTTGATTCTTGAAGTTGGTATCTACACATTGGAGTAAGAAGTCTCCTCTTCCAGATTTGCTTTGGCAGAGACAGTTCTTCACCAGTCAACTCAGTTTAGGTTTCCGGTCATGTCTGCTGGTAACGTTCTTGGGCAGGTGAGGCTTGCTTTTTTAGACAAGGCCACTCACTGCCCAAGCTCTGTGGTCAGGGGTCGGGTGGGGGTGAAGAGGTAGGGAGGTACCATTAGCTAAGAACAGTTGGATAGGACTGTTGGCTTGGTTCCCTGCCCAAGAAAGGCTGTAGGATGGGCTCTGTAGTTGTCTGGGTTCTCTGATCAGGTTTATAGACAGGTGGGTCTGGGGACTATACTTTGCAATAGGCAGGATCATAAATTAGACTTTCCGCCCTGGCAGGGCAGCAGGATGGGCCTCAGGACCTGCACAGCTCCACCTCTGGGTACTTGAATGAGGCAAGACTGTACACTGAATTCCATGGCCAGACGCAGCCACCGGTTTTGTTCTGCAGATGAGGAAAGCCATGGGCTGTGCGCTCTCTGGTCAAGTACCACTATTAGGACTGTTAGGTGAGCCATGCAGTTTCCAGTGTGCTTCGATTATGTTCATTGGTAGAATAGGCTGAAAGCTGTATTCAGAAACGCCCAGGGCTATGAATTACTTTCCCTGCCCAAACAGATTGGGAGAACTGACCTCGAAGAGTGGCAAGGTTCTTTGTGATCTTGTTTCAAGTCATCGTGCTCCCCAAGTTCCCTGGCCGAATGGTGCTACTGGCTTTGCTCTGCAGATGATCAGCTCTGCCTGCCGTGCTGTGCTTGAGTATTGCTGGGCTGTGCAGCTTCCAGGTGGTCTAGCCAGCCTCTCTGGTCAGGTGGGGACCAGGAGCTATACTCAGCAGTGAATCAAGCTGTACCTCAGCTCCCCTGCCTGGGTGAGGTCAGACTAGCCACCAGGACCAGCAGGGCTCTTCATTTAAGGACCTGAATCAGGCAGGCCTGCATGCAGCCAAGTTCCCTGGTCCGACTGCAGCATCGTCTTGGCAGATGAGCAAAGCTACTGGCTGGGACTACTACTTGGATGCTGCAGGTAGGAATTCAGCCTGCAAAGGTCCACGTGCTGGTTGGTCCAAGTCCCTCCTCTTTCTTCTGCGTCACCATCAGAGTCCCAGTTGTTAAGGACCACAGATTCCCCCATCAAACCCAGTGGCAAGACTGGAGTGGGGCCTCCCAACAAGCAACCCACAACACTAGGGGAGCTGGATGTCCTCTCTGGGCTCTCTTTTCCCAGGGGAGAAACTGTAGGTAGACCTGTCAGTGTGGTGCTGTGCTGGCTGGGAGGGGCAATGCTGTGCTCATGTAGCTGCACCGCTTTCCCTTCTAATGTGGTCTGTCCTGGTCTCTGTGGTGCACCGGGGTGATTCCGTTTCATCCCCGTATTCTAGGATTTTCTCAGTGGTGTCTTGTCCATGATCAGTTGTTAGCTGTTCTTGTAAGGGAGAATGAAGTCAGGGATGACCTGTCAGTGTCTTGGTGACATCACCTCTACTCTGCCTTTGTCTGATTCAGTCTGCGTCAGGCTTAATCCTAGGGAAAAGTGCCTCTCATTCAACAGGCTATGAACAAATGTTGGCTTTCAGTGTAGCCCTGCCTTCCATCCTCCTTGCCTCACACACAATGCTTCATACACATCTCATTACTGACTCTCCTGCACAAATGCCCTCACCTCTGTTCATGCTTTTTCTGCCTAGAATGCCTTCTCTGACTGGTAGGTTCCTACCCATCCTTTAAAACCCTGCACAAATATCAGCCTTGTAAAGCCTTACCAAACCACCACAAATCATCAGTCCATCCGTCTCATGCCATCTAGCTCCTTGCTCACACAGTACTTCTCATATTCCATTTACTTCTTTACACACTGGCCTGTCCCATTTGGGGCAAGGACTTATCTGAGTCTTAGCTCAGGAAGCGTTCGATGGAAAGAGAATTCAACATTCAACATACAGCCACTGAAATTAGGAATGGGAGTTTAGTGACTCTCCCAAGAGTTCAACAAATACTATTCCTCTAGCTTCTAGGAACCTTAAGGAAATGTGGTTTCTCAATACTGTGATCGTAAAGCCTCTCCCTTCCCCCCGACCCCACCAGCTACCAGCTCAGGAAGCACCTGGCCCACCTTCTGCACATGAAGCAGCTTGGAGCCAGAGACATGGACAGATGGAACCGAGAGTGCGTGGCATTGCTCCTTCTGGTTTGGAGGAAGGAACTAGAACTAAAACCCCCGAAGACCGTCACAGTAAGCAGGACCGCCAAGAATCCATCCAAGAGTAGCTTGGGCACCAAGTCCACCAGGCAGTCAGTGCTCAAGCAAATCTATGGTAAGTGTGCTCCGGGCACTTCATAGTTTACAACAAAGCACCCTCAGAGAGTGTCATGTCAGAATCTGAAATGGGATTTAATTACATTGGGCAAACCCCATTCAGGTAGGAACTTGATTATACTTTGAGGCACCCAGAGAATTCTCAGCACATTTAGTACCTCCCTTCCAGGAATTCTGTGTCAGAGTTGGTGTGAGGAGGCATTCTGGCATCTCAACCCAGAGAGCCTTCTAGCCATGAGATCCTCTGCTGGGCTACATAACTGAAAGCCTCACCACTGCAACCACTTCAGGCCACTACTTGGGTCTTCCCCTTAGGTTTACCAATTTGGAGAACACCAGGCACAGGGAGACCGTGCCTGCCTCAATTTGACCTTCCCTATGCTAAGACAGTGCAGGGTTGCCTGTCTAGGATGCCCTAAACCCAAGCACTACCATAATTAGCAGATGAACTGCTGCAAATTAAAACATTTTCAGCTCTGGAAAAGAGCCCACCCAAATAAACTCAGCAGAGAACAAGCCTGGCTAGTTCCCCAACAGAAAAAAGTTGAGCCAAGGCACCTTTAGAAACATATCTGTGGCCCAGGCAACAAAATCTCAGGACTTGACCGTGGACCTATGTGGTATTTCCACACCACCCCTAATTTATTTTGGCTGACACTTGCAAGCTCAAGCCTTCACCTTAAGGAACTCAGAACCTGGTCAGGCCACAGCTGTCATTGGTCAGAGATAGATCATTGTTGGTTGGTTTCAGGTTGTTCTCAAGAAGGCAAAGTACATCACCCCACAAGATCTTCAAAAGCCCATTCTGTGCTGCGTCTCAACTCAGGTAAGGCAGCCACTGCACTGGCAAAACAGACTGGGGAGAGACAGTGCGGGGAGGGAGTTTCCTTTTGTTTCATCCTCAAAGTTAGAAGACATTAGAACAGAGATCGCCAAGGGTTTCCAACGGTCACTTGATTTCAGGTATGCATGTTTTCCATCCCCTTTTCATGGAATTATTACTGCAGTCAACATGTCTTCAGAAGAGGCAAGTTCCTTTTATAACCCAAAGCTCTTAACATTACCACCAGTAGATACAGTAAATGGTAGCCGCTATTGATCCTTTACTTACTAGTTCACATCAAGGGAGGGGAAATGAAACTACTGTTCTTCTTTCAAGAAATACCGTGCAAGTTCTTGTTCCATTTTGGTTTCACAGTAAGGTCTTCCACCTCCTCCCTAAAGACAGGAAGAGGCCCTTAACCACAAATTCTGGCTTTTGCTTTTTAGGACCCCACAAGGAAGACATTAATATTTAATAGCATATGCAATTCAGGCTCAACTGCAAACTTTCACTCATACAGGAGCAGCTCAGGGAACTTGCTTTTCAGCTGCAAAACAAGAGTGTTTTACTCAGGGCCCCTTCATTCACATGAGCATTAAATTTGGGTGATAAGTTCAGTGCTGTCAGCAGTTAATGCCAGGTCCAGTGTTTCTCATGAGTGGCTATGGCAACACCCTCCCCCCAGCCTCCCTGATCTAGTCATCCTGCAGGACAGAGTGCAGCTGGGAAGGTGAACAATGACTGTCAGCATGAACTTTAACATTCATTTAGTTTTTGATGGAGGGGGAGACCTGGAGCTAGGGGGAGAGTAATTACTGCCAAACCTTTAATAAGAGCTGGGCAACTTGTAATATAGGCAGGCTGATCAGGGAATGGTGGGTGGGGTAACTGGAAACTTTCAAAGGAATCAAGGCCCATAGTTCTATGTAAAACAACTCGTTATACTTGAGTGAATTGAAGTGTCAAAAACAGAACTCAGATATAACTACCAGAGAAGTAGCATTTAGATAATCAAATATTATAAATTAGATAATCAGAGCATTTTTTACTTTGTCTCAAGAAAAATCCAGTACTACCAGAAATCTTTAAAAATGGAGTTTAGGAACATAAAAGCTTTTTAAAGGACCCGCAGTTAAAGGAAAGAATAAAATTCAAAGAAACGCATAATGGTTTCTTAGGACTTCATATGAACAGACAGCTTGTTTGTCCTACACATAATTCTGACTGGCTTGAAAATGGACAAGGACTGAAAAGAATCCTTTTCTAAGCCTAAGCTTGGGGCAGCACAAGGTTTTATTAGTCCCACCCACCACTATTAACCATTAACCAGTGAATAAGGTGGATGGTCATAACTGCTAACTAGTTTAGCTGAAGCCTGTATGTTTTGTGCAGGAAACATCTCTAGAATTTCCATGAAATCGGTATGACTTGAGCATACACGGAAGTTTCTGCAATGTGAATTCAGATGCCAAATTGAACCAGAAAGAAGAAATCATTAATTTTTGTCTTGTTCAAGTCTTGGCTAGAAACGTTAATTCTTTTTTGCTTGGAGAATTCCATGGGTTGAATTATCTGCTTTTCCTCACCGTCCTATTTAGCTTTAGGAAATTGTTTGGCGCATTGTAGGTACTCAAATATTTGATGAGTGAAGATCTCCACAACTTGGGGAGAGGCTGTGGTAGTGCCTTTACCCCTTAAAAAGCAGTAAATGAGCTGGAGCTAGCAAAACAAACAGCCTCCTTGGACTGTTTCTCTACACATACTCCGGAGACACTTAACAATCTCTGCTCTCTCTGGTCTTCCACATCCACCCCTGCAAACGACCCACAAAGAATAGCAGCATAACAATCTGTGTGATCGTTATTTTGGGGCCCAGTTCTTTAAAATAACTCCCTTTAAAAAATCCATTGCAATGAATGGCATAACCATGGCTGAAGTGATGACTGGTAATGGTACCTCTTGTGTGAATGCAGACCATTCCTGCCCACCTACAGAGCTATGCAGATGACAACTCAGATGTAGATGGCTACAGCAAAGGCAGCCAAAAACACGCCCGAGTTCCAAAACAGTAGTTCACTTTAAAATAACTTTATTGAAGGAACAGTAATAAAACCAGGAAAGAAAAAGACACGTTTGTAACTTTTTAGAACTACTCACCTTTCATGTTTGCTTCTTCAATCCCCGGAAGTTAGGCGCATGCAGCATTCTGGCCTCAGCAAGGTCTCGCCACCATTTGGGGCCTCGGGACCCTCACTTGTTAAATGAGGGTTGAGTACACCACTAATGTTTTCCAATGATGGTGTCCTAGAACTTTGTAATTTCCAAGTCATAAAAAGGATTTAAAAATCCACTTGAAATGTGATATGCCTATCAGTCTATCATCTGAATAATTTTCAAACAAACCTGTTTTCTAGAATGGACTATAGCCCAGTGTGTGGGACATGGAGTTAAAAGACACCTGTGTGTCTGTGTAAGTTTGTGTTATATTAGAGACGCACAGAGACAAAGATACCATACCAGTTACTCCAGGCAGACTGAAGACCTAGGTTCTAGTCCCAGCTCAAGTGCCTACCCCTCCACTCAAGGTTCTTCCTTGAGAGAGATCACGTATCTTAGAGATGACAGATGTAAGGCTGATAAATCATTCTATCTCTACAATAAACTGGCTGTCACCTTACTGAGCACCATGGGTAGTCCAACACTAAACACTTATTTCCTTACCACCAATGAACTCTTCCTTTCAGCATTAAAATTAATAACCTGAATATCTACCTGGTGTTTGTTTTTAACAGTGAGCAACTTGCAGTGTATACACCTCCTTGAGAACAGTGGAAGATCAAAGAATTTCTCTTATAACCTGCAATCAGCTACTCAATCAAAACACAAAACAAAGCCTCGCCTGCCTGTAGAGGAAGACTGCATCCGGGGTAACCCCAAGAGCTAGTGTGGAGTTCTCATTCTCTGCTGCTTCTCTTTCACATCTCGGGAAACTTGAGTAGCCATGCCCAAAGCCTCATTAGCCTGAAAATGTGTTAACAACTGAAAAAAGGTCTGCGTTAGCTTTCTGCTCTCAGCACTGTTAACCCGCGCTGGAAGGCCCAGGGTAGACGATTCGCATGCTAACTGCCTAGCTGTCTGCCTTCACCTCAGTCAGCGTGGCTGGAAAGGAGAATTTATAATTAACAGTAAAGTCTAAGTAAAACTAGGAACGTGAGTGCCACAGGGCTTGCTAGCTTGGGATTCCTGCCAGGCAGCTGGTGCAGGCATGGCTTTTTGGCTCCAGTGAAGAACCTAAATGAGATGGGAGGATGCTGTCCTACAGCAGCCACCTTCATTTCACCACTTTTCCGGAATCTAATGGAACAACTTCATTACAGACAGCACATTCTGTTGTGCCAACATTATCAGTTTTAGGCCAGAATCACGACCCAGCGTTTGCTTTGAGGAATTTTCTGTAAGACCGTTAACAGATGCTCTGTTCACCTCGGCTGACTCCTTACATGTCACGGTTCATGTCAGCCTCTTAAGGCCACAGGCTGCTGTCACTTCTCTGTGAAGGGCATTACTCGTATCGTGGCACCAAGGCATCAGCCCATTTATTTAAAAGGCACCAATTCAGACCTTAACATTCTTGTTTTCTGCCTGACCTGCAGAGGTGAGCAGTCTTATCAAAACGCCATTCCTATTGACGGGAAACTGCTAACCACATTCTAGCTCTGTAAGAATGTGAAATCTAGTGACTGGGGGCTTTTTCACATTTTTAAGGATAAAGCTAATGTGTAGAAATGTAGACAGGAGGCATAAACAGTGACATAGTAGGCTCACAAATATTTCTAGGACTGCTTCCATTTTCTTAAAGATTACTGCCACCCTTGTCCTGACAGTAAGAGATAGGAAGCAATAAAATGTTAACTTAATTACCTTGGTGTTTTACTTTGCTAATTAAGTTATTTCATGATTATGAAAATAATGAATATATCATAGAAATAATTATGTACAGCTATTAATTTTTTAAGAACTATAATGGATAATTAGTAGAAAATCACTTTGACAGTAGTTACCTCGATCAGACCAACCACCATTTAGGTACAGGAAAATCCAGAACGATAGCGCTGTCTTGAAATCTTGCCCCTGCACAGAGGGCTCCAAAACCTCTGTAAATAACAGAACTCTACAGTGAGAAGCTCAGTCACGCTGAATAAGGGCAACCACTCCCGAAGAAAACAAAAACTGGTTTCTGTTGCTGTCTGAGTAAACTGGAGCTGAGAATACAAAGAATGAGGTTTGCCTAAAAGGGATCACAAAATTTAGCGAATTCCTCGGTAAAGAATAGATACCATATTATCACTCTGTATTATATAAATATTCAGTGCCTATACAATGTAAAACACACTACCACATAGCACGTGCTAGGCCAGGAAGCCAGCCTGCATTCTTTTCCTACCTTTGTGCAAAGGAAGGTCCATAAACAACTTTAAAAGTTCAGCTTTAATGACAAATATTTATTACATCAGTCTCTCTTCAAAATTAGATGCAAATAAACAATTTCAAACAGGAAGTGCCATCGAGCCTCTTCAATACACTGTGTTCAACGTGCTGGGCCCCTGGGGATGCCCGGTGATATACACGCTGAAGCAATAATGTAAGTCTGCGAGCCACTGCTCCTGAACACCTCCACTCTTCAATGTCTGCAGAGAAAAGCAAGAGTAATTTGAGAATTCTACCAAAACTACTATGCTCCCTGAAGTGTTTTCACACCCAAACAAGATCAGAGCCATTGCAACAGCACATCTATCAATCACCACAGGACACCTTACCATAGGAAAAGGGGACCTTTTATTTGGGCATTGTCACAGGCAGTGAAAATTCCTCAAGTACAAGTGCTACCGGTTTCTTGTTTGGTATGTTCCGTCCCACACGCGCTAGGAACTAATGAAGTTTCACCGTCCACCATCCCTACACTTCAGACGTCCTCCCCTTGGCATTCTCGAGTCTCTAGATCATACTAACAGCAACTGAGAGTAATTCTACAGGGCCCACTGACGATTTCTGTCATTCTCTTCCTTATGGAGGTGGGCTGATTCCCCAACCTTAGAATAATCCAAATTCTTGACTTTCTTCCCTTTTATTTCTGAATTACCATTACATGTACCAATTAATAACCCCCAAATACGTCTACAAAAAACCACCCTACCTCTCCCGAACTAAAAACACTGAAAGAATCCTAGAGAACAGCACTGCCCCCACCCCAAAACAGACGCAGCTGAACAGAGAACCAACTCTTAGATAAAGCTGAGGCTGCAACTTCCTTCTTCCAACTGCTTCCTACTCTCCAGGGAACTAACTGGATATTGGCCTGAAGTTTACTCCTGCTAAATAATTTCCTAATGACAGCTAACATTTGTAGAGCACTTAATAAATGTCAGTGACACTAAAACCTTTACTTGCCTGATCTCATTTAATGGTCACCAAAACCCAACAAAGTTTTACTTTAGTCCGATTTCTACCACTAAGAAAACAAGCTGGATAGGTTTTAAAACTTCCCAAACTATCAGTTATCCAGGAGTCCATTAGAATCCAGGTAGCAGTGACTCTGATGCCTGTACCTTTTCCAACTAAGCTGCCTGCCACCTTAACTCAGCTTGAGTACTTTAAGGCGTCTGCAGCTGATCCTGGGATCAAAGACAAGCCCCTGATTCGGTAGCACGTACTAGACTGCAGAAGCCCTGGGAAATCGCCACACTGGGCTTAACTGCAGGAGCGAGTCATGCACAGGAACCCTGGCCTCCCAAGAGCACCCCCCATGCCTTGCCCGGGAATCCTTTCTAGCACTGATAGAACAGGCTTCTTACTGTGATATTCTTGATGATCTGCTGCACCAAGATGGCATTGGTCAACATGTGAGTCCTGAGGGGTGCATGCTGGAGTAACAGGCGCAGCAGCTGGCCCACCACAGGCAGCTCCTCAGGCCCAGCTCTGTTCACCCGCAGGCTCTGCAGCATCAACTTGAGGACTCGAGGCAGGAGAGCCAGGACTGAGACACAGACTCCCCACAGCTTGTCCCTACAATAACAGACAGAAATGAGTCAGCCAACACATACAGTGAAAGTACCCTTTCTGTATTTCCCAAAAATAAAAACGTCCTTTTAAGAAACATGGTGTTTTCTGATAAAACCCCAAAAACCAAAACTAGTAAGAACTGGGTTTCATCAGAGCTAAATAAGCAAATCTAATGAAGAATTAGCTGTTCTCCCAATTTAATGGGTTCTGGGAAGCCTAACAAGCGGCATTTTCCTGGGCTTAACAAAACATTCTTGAAGCCCTAGTGATCTTATATAACGCAGAATTAGCTAGAGAACAGAAAGATCTACACAGGCATACCATTCTCTTCCACTGGACATGACTCAACTGTCCATAACACCAAATATCAAAAGAGTAAGACTATCCCACTGGTAAAAAAGGAAGAGGAGAACTTCATGAAACTCATAAGTCTATGACCTGGATTATGAGCCTCTTCAATGTTTTTGAACAGTGCAGATTTGCAGAGCAACATGTGCTCACAAGGGAACAAATGGATTTCAGAAAGTGGCCAATAAGGGACTATTACTACACTACTAGGTCATGGAAGGCCAGAAATGGTAAATCCAGACTTGAGTAAGAATCACTCCCTTGGTATGTTACAGAGCAGGAACAAAAATGTTTTATGATAGCAGTGAACGTGTAGCTAGCCTAACGACATTCTAGAAGAATGTCAATTAAATGGAATGATACATCTTTTGGAGAAGAGTCCACTGGCTGCTAAAGGCTCTGATCTCAGTCCGTTACGATTTTTATACCAGGAAATGCATAATCCTCCCGGTCCCCAAATCTTTCTAAGTGGACCTGGCTACTTGCAGATGCAGGAGCAGCCCTCTCCTCATTTGCCCAACCTCCCCAACTCCACAGAAAGCAATTGCATCAAAGATGGATACTGAATCCATACTGACTCTTATTTGAAGAGACTATTCAGCTTGTTGATTCATACACAGCTAGGCTAGGATAGCCACGTGCAAAGAGAAGAGAAAGCCAGCCTACAGACTCAGCTAACGATGCAAAGGCAGAGAGAGAAAGACATACAATCTAAAAGAAAAGGAACAGAGAAAACTCCTTTGGATCCTACTGGGTTTCAAATTCCTAGTCCTTGGGTTTTTTATAAGTTACTTCTGAAATGTTCCAATATATTCATTTTCTTTACTGACCAAACTTCGATGAACGGGCTTATGCGTTCTACATCAAACCAAATATAAGTATATTAATAGATGAGTCAAGTTTAGAATTCCACCTTCACACACAAGTTCAGAAAATTGTCAAGCCAAAGAGAAATACGAGAGACCTGGATACCACAAGTGATAGAAGATGAAATAGCACATGAACAGCCATTTTTGGGTGTTCTATGAGTTTTCATATATAAGGATAATTTTACTTACCCTATAAAGTGTTTAAAGTACAGAACCGGGACCAATGAAGTTGAGGTTTCAGCTCAACATAAAGCAATGGTTCTAAACCACTCTAGAGAAACTGATAAGAATTTCAGCATTTTACATACAATTTCCAGGAGTTCACCTAACTCCACAAACTTCTGATATATTCTGCTCAGATAATACCAACTTCCCCCCTTACTCCAAACAGAGAAATACAGATGTAATACGTAAGGGTTTTCAACTGCTATCAGTGTTGGAAGCTGAGGCTTCATGCACCGGGTAAGGGAGGCAGGGAGCTAGAACCAGGCTCCCTGTATGTAGCTGAAAGTTAGGAAAATGCAGTGTGCAACTGTCCCATAGCAGTCTCCACAACCTCCAAAGAACTCACAGAGGTGCACTCAGAGAAGAGGTGTACAACCAAAATATGAGTTTTCTCAAGCCCATGAAAATCAATGTCCACAGCTCCACCTGCTCCCCTGAATAAGGGAGAATTCCCACACCAGAGAAAAAAGGAAAGAACAGAACAAACTGACAGGAACTTTATAAAGTTAACACCAATGAACAAGCAAGAATGACAAAGAGGCAAATAAAAACCCAAATTAGATGAAAGAAAACAATAGCTGATGAAATAAAAACTCAATAGTATTAAATTAAAGAATTAGCGAAGAGGAAGATGTTAAGAGAGAGGACAGAAAGGGAAGCTAGCTAGGTATGTTTCAAAGGAATTTTTAGGCGAGAACAGCAACAATGGGGAAGATAACAGTCAGAAATAACAGTATTTCTCAGACCTGAAAATATTGTGTCTTCTAATTAGAGGAGCACACCAAGTCTCAAACCTATACCAAGACACATCCTGATCTGACACACAATAATGATAACGAGAAAACAGTAAAAGCACAGAAAAGAATAGATTACTAGCTACAAATCCAGAGGGCTCAGTAAACAGCAGATTTTCCATTCGTAACAAACGAGTCAGGAAGTCAACAGAATAGTTTCTCCAAAGTCCAGTCGCCACAGTTTTGAACAACTTGGATTGGTCAGGCCTGATTTTCTTGGCCAGCACTTGTGAAAACAAAGGCTACCAGTAACTGACTGGCACTTATTATTTGTTATCAACCAAACACCTTCTCTAAGGGCGTAGGAGTGCCCTGAAAAGGAAATTTTAAGTACAGGGATCCGCCACTTTTTAAAAGCTCATATTACACCACTTTAAAGTTAGGAAAGACCTATCTTAGTACCTGTTTTCACTAATGGAAAGATATCCAAAGAGAATTTCCACCTTTATGAAAAAAGGCAAAAAGCGAAATAGCATTCAGTGTTTGTTTTGTAACAGCTGTTAAAGAGGATGCCGCACCCCAAGCAGCGAGGTGTCCTTCCCTAGAACCACACTCAGCATGTCAGCAGCAAGCTGCCCGAGCTCTGATCGTGTCTGTGAGCACCTGTGCTTTACCTCGATT